CCCACCGTCGAGAGGAAGCCCCAGGTACCCCGCTCCTACGTCCATCTAGTGGGGGGTTCTCGAGCGGTAAACTGCCCCTCACCGCGTTTATTTGCTAAGGTGGCCTCTCCAGGGGCGGGTGAATAGAAGAAGGAAGCCAGGAGGTGCCCAAGCAGCTGGCCTTGTGAAACTAGTCTTCGTCTGGCTTCAACCCGTTGACCTTTCAGGCGTGATTGGATCTACGGCTGTGAGAAGCCATCCTGTGTAGCTCGCAGGGTCACTGAGGCGCGCAAGCCATCACACCACGTCAAGGTGCAGTCTCGTCGTGATGGCCTAACCTAACCTATCGGGGTCTTATGGGGTTCGCCACTCCAAGTCCCNCCCGGGGCTTAGGTTACCGGTTTCCATAACAGTAGATACTCGTGATCAAGGGCTTTACCCCGCCTGCTGTTTATCACATGAAAGTGTGTAATAAAAATTTTTTCAATCATAGTTACTATCCCTTCCTTATCCGGCAGTCAGTGAGATGCGCAGGGTTCCTAGTTTACATAGCTGAACCGCCTTTACAGTTGCGGTCGCCCTGCCTAATTTACGCGGACGAGCGGAAACTATGGTACAACTGCAGTTATAACACAACATCATTAGTTTTGCAGTAAAAAACAAATGCAATTTTTCGCATTTTTCTTATTACACTACAGTGATAAATTCAGTAAATGGAATGAACTACTAAGTCGCAAAAACCTATTATTTACTTCATCTGCTACGACAACCGCCTCTTTCTGAATTGTCATAAATCAAATGAACATTACACGAAGTTGAGATTGCTTTATTACTACGCTTACCAAGCGAGGTTTTTGTGCTTCTCAAAAAAATCCTCTAGTTGCTGTTTCGCAAAGCTAGCCTTGTAGGAAGCATACTTGTCTCCGGCCTCGGCATCCGTGAGACTGCTGTGGTCAAACGGCTCCAGAAATTTTCGTAAAGACATTGGTCTTTGGGTGAAATCTGCTTTCCCCAGAGTCTGTCCCAAAGAAGTTGGTGTTTGACCCGTTTTTTCACCCATCTTTGATTGAACATTCAAGCTTTACCGCTAGAGCTGTAAAAAGAAAAAATACAACAGAGTAGAAACTTTCAACCATCAACCGTAATTGAGGTGTTCGGTAACAGTGGTAGAAGAGAACAACTAACCATTCAAAAAGTAACCATATCAGTTTGTACGCATGCCCGAGACCAGCACACAGAGCGGGCCACCATCGTACGCACAGCCTGGATAAACATGCACGTTTCAAGTGGTAATTACCGTAGAGAAACGATAAAAACGCCGTTATTGGAACATTATGTCTTTCTTCAGCGCCAGTCCGTGAATTACAGTCATTCTGATGCAAAAACGAATACTTATTCGTTTTCAGTGCTCCTTTATAGCCCGTTATTTGTTTGCTCTTGAATAGATTCTCATGTTCTGATCCAGAGACTGCGCCGTGCCAAGCAGATTTGAGTGATACAATACTTGATATCGACTACCCAAAGCCAAAGTTATGCATTCTTCAGAAAATGACCCGTTTTGTCTCGGGCAGTCTGACAGCACTGTGCCTAAGAACAAACCAATGGAGACTATTCGTTCTTCATACACTGCCCCGCTGTCTTGGGGGTCAGGTTTTGACTAGCTGAAGGCTCCAGCTGTGGAGTCCTCAAGAAAATTCACCTGGGCAACCTGGCTTGATTCAGCTCACATGCAAATCATGAAACGTTTTTCTTTTTCATAAAGATCATTGTACCATGATTTGTTTGGCACAGAGTCTGGCGTCAGACGCGCGTGTGAAATATATATATAAGACCATTTTTATATACGTGGATCAAACTAAAATCCTCTATTACACTTTATCGCACGGCGATCCAAGCAGAGAAGTTTTTTATGAAACAAGATCAGATTTGGAAAAAAACACTAAATCAGTCAAGCCTTCTCTGGGGCTGCAGTACATACACCACCGAAAACAAGTCACATGTATCCGTGGCTCTGAATGATATACTAACACTGAAAAGTTATGCAATTATCTTTATAAGGGGATGCACTGTTTCAGTTTTAGTTTTACCAACCATTAACCATACGCATTCGTGCGCCCGTTTTGGATGCTAACTTTTGGCTTTCCATTTGGATGAAACAGGAAGAGACAGACAGAAAGCGGAAAATTTCCGAGAACTCAGGTTGTAAAGAAATTTGGAAGATGCATGAGGACACTTAGCGATATACGTCAGTTTCTAACTATCGATCACAATGGTCCGGAAGAACCTGACGCGACTTATATGACCGAGTCTCCTGATTAGGGTTTTCATACCCTCGTGCCACGTTTTATTTTGACCACCCTTGGTTTCTACGACCTACTACCATCATTATCATCACCACTGTACTGTGAAGCAAACTTCACTGATCGCTGCCAAACTCATATTGCATACTAGGTGAGTGAGAATGTGTAAGAATTTACTTTTAAGTTACCAGGCGACTCACTCCATTCCACTTGGGCCAGATTAAATAAGCTTCGATTGTCGAAAATCCCTAGGCGACGGATGTCTTCTACCCACCAATTCAAGGCTTCACAACCGCAAAGCAGAACTGATCGTACAATGGGGAAGTATACGCGACTCTTCAACTTCAATGAAACATCACGTCGTCACCACAGATGTTTAAGTCCTGCGTATGCTGCTCAAGCCTTGGAAACGCTGGTGATTATCTTCTTCACTGCGCTGCCGTCACTGGTCACAGAACTACTCAAGCAGAAAAAGCCATACATTATAAGTAATTCCTGACCGTCTAGTTTCAGAGCAGAACTCACGATACCCAGTCTTGTAGCATTACTTTGCACTTTGAAGCTGCAAAGCACATACCGAACGGAGCGACAGAACTTGCTAATCTTTCAAATGCTCTTCGTGCATCCTCCATGGATTCGAGCAAGCAAACGATGCCGTCAGCGAACTATCAATCGCACAGCTTTTCACCAGTTGCCCATTCAATACCTAGATTGTGGAGACCACTTAGTGCGTTCTCCAGAATTTCGTCTATGACGAAATGGAACAGGAATGGTGAAAGAGGGCACCCTTGATGAACGCCGCTGCCTACTTAGTCTGTTATATACCCTCACTTGACCAGAAGTATGCAAGTAGAGTGAACTCAGTATGTTTACGTACTTCTGCGGCATTCCTTTGCGAAGGAGCGAACCAATAAGGGATTCACGATCAACTGACTCGAAGGCGCCCCTTAGGTCAAGGAACACGACAACCATCGGTTGACGGTGTGTGGTGTAGCTCGAGGACTTGCCGCAGACTGAAGATTTGATCGATACAACCGCGACCTGGTCAAAATCCTGATTGTCACTCGCAAATGTTTGACTCCATAAACGGTGTCAGACGTCGAAGTTTGATGGAGGCTAGCAACTTGGTGACGAGTGGGACCAAACTTACTCCACGGTAGTTTGCACAGTCGTTGCGAGAACACCTTTTAAAAACTGGAACGATCAGTGACTCGCTTCAGGATGATGGAATGCGCTCGTGTGACCATATGGTATACATTATATCAGTAATGGAGTCTACGAGGTTATGGCCCCCCATCTTGAAAAGACTGAGGGGAAGCCCACTGGTCCTGCTGCTTTTCCTTTCTTTAGAGCTTGGGTGCAGGATCAAGCTTCTGCTGCAGTAGGAGGTTCAGATGACACTGCCCACGGAGCGTCAGCTACACCGGAGATAGCCTGGTTAGCGCCTGGTCAGCTGAACTGTTCGCTGAAGTATTCCGCCACGAGTCAAGCCGTTGCTCCCTATTGTGAAAAGCTTCTCCACTTTTGTCGCAGATTGTTTCACTAACTGTGGTTTGGCGACCTCCTGTATTGCGTATCAGTTGGAACAGTCTTTGCTTATACCCTCATGCAGTCGCTACTTTCAGTTTACTAGCTATCGTTACCCATTAGTTCTCACAACCTCTCTTGAGGCTCTTCTTCAGTTGATGTTGCAGACGCCACCTAACCCTGCCTTGATCCCGGTCGGTCGGGATTTGCAGCTCTTTCTTCATCAG